TTTTTTTTTTTTTTTTTTGGGATCCTCCGGTCAAACTTGGACCAAAGAAAATCATTCATTCCAGCCTTACACCATTTCTTTATCGTACCTTGGTCAAACGTGAAACTCCGGCCGTTGATGGGATATGATGGGGATCCAACGATAAGCATTTGCGGATTTTCATGGTAAAGAGGACGTGTGGATTTACAAAGATATCCCCGGGACGGAATATTCGGTGGGGGTGTTTTTTGACTGGTCATTGGACGGTTTGTTTCTGCGGTCAAGTTTTTAGGGCTTTGAATTTTATTTGCTTAGGACTTAATTAATTGTGCTGGCCATGAAACCGTACGAATCGGTCTATTTTTTTCTTTTCTTTAATGTTGAAATTTCTGACCTGTTAAATCTAAACATTTCATGTGACAACCATAATTTGTGGTGCGGTTGGCAAACTACCGCTTCCAGCTGGCGAGTTACTTGGTGCCTTAATGATAGGGATTCAAAACTTATTGGAAGTATTTTGTGACCAAAAGCAAGTCGAATCCCGAGCGATAATTAATCTCACCTTAAATGGCAAGTGGATAATGAGTGTTGTGAATTGGTTTTTTTTTTTCCTCAAATAAAGGCATTGCCTTAAAACCAATGGGCAAAAACTAGAGTTATTGGAATTGTGTAGTTTTTGTTGCAAACCGATTCGTGAAAGGGAGTGACGATGCTGTGGACAACAATGATGATCATTTGAAGGGTGTTTGTTGGTGTAATGATGAGTGAGCACTTGATTAAACTAAATTAGTTTTTATCATCGAATCCTATATTACTCCAAGTTTAGGAAGCTAATTCGAAACTTAATTAGCTTCTCGAAAAGCATGTATGCAAATCCTGCATTGCGGGATCTCATTTAAGAAATTACTTAGTTTAGCTTTGATTAAAACTCGTCATGACCGATTTTAAACGGTTTAAACTTAAATTTAATTTGCATTTGAGTTGTCCAAATTAATCAATCAGCATGTTTCGCAAATATAGCATAATTATAGTTTTTCTAAATTTCTATGATGACTCAAAGATATCATTATATTGATTCTAACTTTAGTTTTTTCTAAATTTTTACAATGACTCAATATATCATTCTATTAATTCTAACATCAAGACCCGACTAGGACGAAGTGGACAAATACAATGCTTTTTCTATTTATATAAGTGATATTGAGAGAGTGAAAATCGAACTTAAGACCTCAAGTATATGAGTAAATACTTCTACAAACTCCATGCATATTACTTATTAATATACTACATTTTCATAGGGTTGGGTAATGCATAAATTCAAGTTTTAAATTCGACTTAAAAATTCAAATCTTGTTGAACTTAGGCGTGCCAACCCACTGCCAAAATGTGATCATGGTTGGTAACTTCCCAACCGAAACCCAACTTGTAGTATTTCTAACCCACCATCGACACACTGGGCTTCAAGTTGTAATAAAAAAAGTTCACAAATATATAATAGAAAACTCAACTTGTAGTGTAGCATCCATTCGACATGCCAAGGAGGCAACGATTACATCAACAAGTACATAGAATTCTATAGGCTTTATTTCTTAACTATTAAATCAAATTGATTAGTTTGATTCAACGATTAAAAAATCAAACTTCAAATAAGACCTTCGTTATAGAAGGTCTGCACGTTCTGGGTTGGTTTGTGGGTCTAGTACTTACTTAGTTATGCGCTCATCTTTGTTCGGGTCAGGCTATTTTTTGTTGTTCTTATGGGTCTATATTTATATTAATGTTTGCCTTGGGCCTTGCCCATTCTTTCATGTGGGAAAGAAAACACGTCATCGGGCCAGTTTGGTTGCAGTTCATGGCTAGTCCTCCTAGCATTGTTATTAGCAGTAGAAGGTAAGAGTCACTAGGCCCAAATTTATTCAGGTATAAAATGCGATAAATTTGATGGTTAGAGGTAAATTGGTGCGTTTCAAAAGATTAGCAGAGTTTATAAGCAAATTGAAAGAAAGTTGAGGGGCACATCTGAAAAAAAAGGTCATAAGTTTATGGTGCATTGCTAAATTTTTCGCTTATCATTAATTCTTGTAAAAACAAAGGGTGTGATGCAAGGGGGCTTATTATCAAGGTCTTGTGGTAAATTTCCGCCTCCTCATTATCGCTTGTACAAGAAAAACAGATGGGACGGCCCAGCCTACATCATGATAAAGCTCAGAAGTAGCTAGCCATTGTTTATTTTCAAGTCTCAAAATTGGAAGGCTCGAAGATTTTTCTTTGCAATAAGTTGTTGGGTTTGGTTATCAAATTTTTGGGTGTGAATGTACTTAGCATCCCTACCAAACCATAAGCCTAGTTCACAAGACAGGGCTAATGGGCTTGAAAGGATTTTTTGTTGTTTTTTGCTCTTTGCTTTTCCTCAAGTGGAGGAAGACCATGGGCTGGAAAAAGCCTTGTTAGTTACATATAATCAAGCACCACCTTATGAACCTAGGAAAAAATCACATGTTGTGCCAATGAACAAAAGAAGCTCCATTTCTTTCATGTTTTTATAAAAAAAGGGGAGGGAGGAATCGAACATAGGACCTCGAGTATAAAGGTAAATACTCTTAATCACTTGAGTTACAAGTCTTTAACGGGAAGTCTTTGCTTTTCCATTTAAGTAAACGGTAACATAGCGACTCCACGAAGCATGGCATGCACATGCCAGTGGTAATCATAACTTAGAAAAAAATATTTGGGTTTTCAACCGAAATGATGCCTCAACTATTGTTTTAGTATCATTTTGGTTCATCAACTAAAATTTTTATTTCAATAGTCCTTCAACTCTTTATTTGATATCACAACGATCCTACTGTCAAATTCTGTCAACTATTCTGTGAAATCAAATGATGAAATTGTCTTTTTAGGACAGTACCCTCAAAACCAAACAAATTCCAAATTAGTCTTCGTCTTCTTCTTCTCTGTTACTCCGTGAAGCCATTTCTAAGAGCTCAGGAACCAAATAGAGCCCTTGAGAAAGAATGAGAGGTTGGAATGCCCTGAAAAGACAGTTTTGGCTCTCAAGTTCACGGAATAGTTGACAGACTTTGACGATTGGACTATTTTGATACCAAATAAAGAGTTGAAGGACTATTCAAATGAAAATTTTAGTTGATGAACCAAAATGATTCTAGATCAATAATTAGGATACCATTTTAGTCGAAAAACCACAATAATTCAATGTTTGGCACGTGAACCCAAAAACACAACTCAAAGTAACATCAAAACGTCACTCTTGACCTCCTCTTGTTTCCATGCAATTTAATTAAGGGTACATTGATTCTCTAAAGTTCTCTGTTGAAACTTAAGACTTTGAGAGACTGATGATCAGTGGAGGCTTCGATGCTTTTGAAAATATATTCCTAGTCACTATATAGTGTATGCGGCAGCCTACGTTTGCACGCCTAATTAATTGACATATTATAGAGAAAAGTGTGGCCTTTTACTTCTAAGAGAATTAATTAAACTCAAAGACTTTGGCTGGCAAATGGTCCTACATATTCAATGCACCCAAGTTAAGAGTGTGCTTAAAATTGCAGAATCTCCCATCCTCTATGCGCATAATGATGTCTAAGAGCTCCCGCAACACACCAACTTCTCCCTTTTTCATTGAAAGCTGAAGAGGATTAGGAAAAAGGGTTTTCTTGTATTATTATCATCCATATGTCAAACTATGCCTTAAATGTTGTATGCAATTTCAACAAAGACTACATACACGGCACGAAGATCTCACAAATTCTCACTTTATCATATTTTTCCGAGGAGGACCACTTTGCCAATCATCATTTGATTTAGTAACATTTAGTCTTTAATTTGTTGAAAGAGGTTATGACGTCCGAGTTTATATTTCATGGACATCGAAGTGTTATATCATTGAAAAAAAAAAGAGAGGATGTAATTTTGAATATGAATCGTATGGAATACATGCCTATATGATTGGTTGAGTATGGGCAACAGCCAGCCCCATCTGATGCGGCGCCAATGATGGAGTGGAGTGCAATCTCTATATTATAGGCAATCAATATCATCAATGTGAGTTGGCCTGCGTACTCTAATTAGGGTCAATGAGCAGCTAAGCAAAATTGCGTATATCTGAAGACATAACATGTTTCCATGACTAAGAGAAAAGACAACTACATATAACCCCCCCACCCTAACACTTTTGAGCTGGAAATTTATTAGGGTTGCCTTATACATAAAACCTAGGGTATGTAGGTATATGACTTAAGAATTATGCTTGTTTCGCACAATCGGATTTGGATGGGTTGGGGAGAAATCCATAGAAAAACATTCCTATTTTGATGTTTAGAAATGATGGAAATGAGGAATGCTTTAAGCAGGATGTTATGCACGTTTATTATATGGAAGCATAAATAAAATAAAATCAGTATCAGATGTGGATTTGGTTGATTGATTAAGGTAGTGTGTTCATCTCCTTGCATTCAAGTTTGATTCCTCTTCACATGTAAACATCACATTGTCGAAAAGAACAAACCAAATTATGACAACAATAAACCTAATTTTTTACTTTGAGAATAACTTCTAACCTTGCGAATTTAGGATAAAATAGTCACGAATAAAGGAAAACTCGAAGAAATTTACGTTTACCAAACTTGTTGTGAAGATAATAACTTCATTGGATACGG